TTTGAGCCGAGCATTGAAAGACAAACGGCCGCAATACAACGAGAGACACGATAAAGTGATTTTGCAGCATGACAATGCTCGACCCCATGTTGCGAAAGTGGTCAAGACATACTTGGAAACGTTGAAATGGGAAGTCCTACCCCACCCGCCGTATTCTCCAGACGTTGTTCCCTCTGACTATCACTTGTTTCGATCAATGGCACACGGCCTGGCTGACCAACACTTCCGATCTTATGAAGAAGTAAAAAATTGGATCGATTCGTGGATAGCCTCAAAAGATGACCAGTTTTTTCGACGCGGGATTCGTACGCTACCCGAAAGATGGGAGAAAGTAATGGCCAGCGATGGACAATACTTTGAATCATAAATGTATAACCAGTTTTTTTATAATAAAGCCTCGAATTTCGGAAAAAAAACGGCGGAAGCAAAGTTATACACCTAATACTAAAATCGAAAAAAAAGTTAAAAACTTACATTTTTTTCAACTCGTAGAGTTGTTATCTGGTAGATGTTTCTTTAATGTAAATGTTTTACGGCTCCTATGGACAAAACGACAATGCAGCAACCAACGTTTTAGGTGCACAAACAATACTGAGTTCATGAAATTAAGATTAAAAGCAATAAATGATTTATTAAGACCGTAATGTGAATAATGTGAGTAATGTGAATAAGATTAAAAGCTTAAAAAGAAAGATTTATATCAGTCTGCAAATTATACATGCATATGAATTATCATAGAGCTTATATTATTGGAGGGAGAATGCTCTATCCAAGCAATGAGTGGAAAGTGTGAGCAAGATCTGAGAGACAGAAGATGTATATTCTATCCTGCTCAATAACTTTTCTTCTTTCTGCGTATATGCCAAAGAGGATAGAAGTGGATAAAAAAAATATTTCTATCCTTTAGATCTTGCTCATAACTCAACGTAAATATTCCCTCTCCAGTAATGTAAGTTCTATGATATAAATGCTGAGAGACTTGAAATGGTAAACAAAGTAATAATTATGTCTAATAATAGATGCTCGTTCTTGCAAGAGATGGCATTGCAATATGTTAGAGTGGCTGCGTTCGGCAATGTCGCTCGGGTGCCTTTGATGCCTTGGATTCATCATTTTATCCTTATTTAACATTAATGTGTCCGAGCGACATTGCCAAATGCAACTATTAGAGATAATAATCAGAATTTGGCGAAAGCAATCACTTCTGATTGATTCTCCATTTTGATCCATTCGGTATTCTTCGGATAGCTTTGTACGTTTTCCTTGTCAGAAAATGAGTGCGAAGAAAAGAAAAAGATAAATAGCTACAAATAAATGAATAAAAAATCTATTTATGTCAAAGAGATTAGAAATCGCTTCGAGATTTTGAACAAAGAAAAAAATTAATAAATTACAATTGCACAATTCGGTCAATTGATCAACTCGATGAGTTTCTTCAGGTATTGTCCTCGTATTGTCTATCACGTATTCTAACAGTGCGCCCTTTTCCATTTCTCGAACGTTTGATCTAGAGATACTATGTCTATGTTACAGAATCTCTATTAAATAAAGACAGATGAATGCATTTGACACACAACGATATATAATAAATATAAGAAATGAATAAAAGATATCACTATTATCGAATTTGGAATTAAAAAAAGTCTGTATTGCATGATGTAAAAATACCAGATGTTTCGTTTCCGTAGTTGTACAATAGTAGCGTGAAAAAATTGGGCAAAAATTTAATTGGCTGTTCCAATATATGTCAGCGCTATTATTACGCAGGAAAGTCAATTTGGGTAAAAATTTGATTGGTTGTTTTTAGTATTATTATGTTATCGCCATTATGCACAACGGAACACCTGAGGTTTGTTCGCATGCTCTAACATGCTCTAAAATCCTCTCCTATCATAGCATTTACTCATTCTAACGCGCTCGTTGAAGTGAGTAGCAGCTATAGCAGAAACACATTGGAATATGCTGAAGCATACGACGCGAATAAATTTCTAGTATTCTTATATGATCTGTACTATCAATCTCGATCAAGTTCAGCCGTCGCTCCAGCATCCCCTTAATTTCTTTAGGCATGGTCCGTTCTCTGGAAGTCAGTTTAAATTAATCTTCTCGTTAAATTCTTTTGTCACGTTGATTCTCAGATTGATCACTCGAAGAAATAATTTCTTAGACGTGATCTAGATCCCGGAAATCATTCTCTGACATGAAAGATACCCGAACTTTGTTTCATGCAAAGTTCGCAGCTCTTCAGGATTCTCAAGATCTCTCCTCCTGAGAATAGTTCTTCCGCGGTTGAGGACGCGTTACGAGTTTATGACATACGTGATCCAATCGACAGTTTTGGCCACCCGATGATAGATCCCTGGTTGGCCTGGCTGTGCGCAGGAATAACCTGCGGACACAATGCCGATGAGGTACCATCGACCAGTTTTTTCTAACATCAACGGACCTCCACTGTCACCCTGAAATTTAAATATACTTTTGAGAAAACGTATTCGCGAAGAAGAGATGGGAAAAAAAGGAAACGGAACGACAATTCATCGTTCAAACAGTACGCACCCACGATGACGAAAGCGCTTACCTGACACGAATCCTTACCGCCGCTGCGATAACCGGCACACATCATCTCGTCATGAATGACGACGTTGATGCCATTGGACCGATGCCACCGCTCACAGAGACGATTATCGATCACGGGCACGTCTACCGCTTGCAATGTTTTTGGCCGTAATCTAGAACCTAAATAAAATAATTCGTATAACGAGACAATTAATAAAAGGTAAATGATTGCGTTCAGTAGAGAAAGCAGCTTTACAACTGTTCTAAAATTCTCGAATATAATTGGTTTATATATTTAGATCTAGTGAGAAACTAAGAGCAAGATTAATCATATTAAAGAATTTTACAATAGTTGCAAAGCTGCTTTTTGTGCTGAACATAACCAATGACAAGATTATTTATAACAAATTAATATAAAGTTAAATGTGGGACACACTTTATTTCTCTCTTTGAATGTGTATGCATGTAAATTACTCTGTGAAATTTTTTTCTAAAATTCTTTATAATATTTCAGAATTGTTTTTTAGAATTTCTGTATAATTTTATAACTTTCTAGAAAATTTCTCAAATCTTTTTAATTGGATCACTTTTCAGAAGTACTTGAGAAAATAAAAAATCTTTTATATAATTCTTTCTATTATATTTCTTTCTATTATATTTATAATAAAAAATCTTTTATATAATTCTTTCTATTATATTTATAATTTTGAAATATTCTAAAATTTATAAAGTTTTTTCTCGTTAAGTTTTATTACTTTTAAAAAATATTGAAACTTTTAAAAATAATTTTTCATCAATAAACATTTTTTTCACCAAAGTAATGCTTATTATATTAATGATACTATAAGAAATTATCTAGTAATTAGAATTAAAGTATTTTAATCCAGAATTTATAAGATGAGAAATGAAAAGTGAATTTAAAATTGTAACGGACGAATAAAATGATTTTTTTCACTAAGTTCACCTGCTTGCAAAGCGCCCCATCCCGCAGCCCAGCCATATTGCCCTAGAAAATCTTCATTTTTCTCTGGTAGGCATATGGGCCCTATATGAGGCATATAATGAACCGGTCGATCTAATCGAAGCACAGCCACATCAAATCTGATAAACAAATGTGAGAGACGTGAAATCAATAGAATTCATGTTCTGTTCAACATTCGAGGTATTCATATGAGATGTTGTTAGTAATACATGCGAACACACCTGTCTGCCTGTGGCGTGAATTTGAAATAAGGATGCACTCTAATTTCTCGAACTCCAAAAGTATAAGCTGGCAGAGATTCGGTCGCAGAATTCACCACATAATCACCGAGAGTAACCTGGACTTGTCTTGCTGACGCTCTAACATTCGAAAAATTTATTAAATATTTTAATTAGTAATAATTTGCATTTAAAATTTAACAAATACATAATTATTTTTAAATTAAATACAAGTTTTTACGTTCTCGTCAAAAAGAATTCAAATAGAGACCTCTGCTAATGAGCTACTCGTATGCAAACAGATTCCCCACTCACTTTGCAACGCAATGCCCAGCGGTGACAACGTGAAATCGATTGACCAAAGTGCCGCCACATCTACTAGAACCAATCCGTATGTAAGCCTGCAAAAAAAAAATAATTTTAACGATAGTTTTATCAAAATCCGAACTAAAGTCTAATTGAAAAGTACAAGCAAACAGAATAATAGATTTCAATCTATATTCGAAACATCTATCAAAATACACAATTTCTGATAGATTGAAATTTATTATTTCCTCTTTCTATACTTTTCAATGGTATATTAGGTTTAAGATGTCTCATATTATTGTCACATTATTGTCTGACCTGCCACGGGAAACTGCCGAAACCAGCCTCGTCACCGCCGACGATCCTCCTCTGCGCAATTTGTTTCGAGACGATTGGTATGCCGCAACCTGCAAAATACAATCACCTGGATTCGCATGCAATTAAAGTGTCGCCGTTAAAATTAATAGGATGATTGTCAGATCTAAATATTTGGTGAAGATTTGCTCTAGAAGATTTGCCAAATTTTTCCTTCTGAAATAGACAGCAGGTCAAATAAATTAATTCCAGAGAAACGATAGAACTCTTGTAGTAATTAAAATATTCATATATACATGAAATAGTTGAAATAGTAACGAAAAGCGATAAACGAAATAGAGAATCCTAAATTATTCTGTGTACAGAACATGAAAATTCTATCTGTCGCAATCTGTAATTACAATAACGCTTAAACATTCTGTGACATCAATGCCTTTAAGTCGAGTCACAAATTGTCAAAGGTATATAATAATCAATCACGATATTTCTTCCCCGTTCTTCTCTTCGCCGAAATTGGACTTGGAGTAATGCGATGATTCTTTATAAACTCCTTCTGTCTGCTATTAATGTTGAGTCTTGATCTACATTGCATATAACTAAGTAATTTTGATGATAATCAAGTAACTCATGGTGCTATATTACACTCGAACATCTGACAGGTGAAAGAATAGCATTATTCATGATTGTTCGAATATTAGCCTAAATTAAGTCTGTTGATAAAAATAATTTTGATTAAAGAACAAGTATTCATTGATAATAATTGGAAATCATATTTTTAATTAAATTTACATCATTTGAAGAACATAAATTTGGAAAATTTAAAGGTATATATACACACACACACACACACACACACACACACACACACACACACACACATACACACAAAATTATTTTAGATTATTATATTTGTTATAAATAACTTAAACAATATAATATTTATAATTCATTGAAGTTAAAATCATCACATGAAATACTCATCATATGTACATTATAAAATCAATAATTTAAAATAATGTCCTTGATAATTATTATTGATAACATTAACTATTTTTGTACACATGCGGTATAATTATTTTTTGAATTACAACATTTTAAGAAGAATAAAAATTCTGAAACTATTAATTTTATTCCACAATATATTACAATTTGAATTATAGGAAAGTTAAAAGATCTTTTAGATTTATTACTTTTTTTAGACTTGCGATGGATATTTTTCGATTAGTCGCGAATAAATTCATGCGCTTATTAGTGCATCGCATTGTTTAAAGTAATCCCTTGCGAAACACGATTGTCGCAAATGCAACGAAGCGTTTTATCGAGCAGATTATGAGAAGGAGACGGAGTATAGATCGCCAAAGTTTTATGAGCCGATGGCAATACAGAAAAACTGCGTTTCACCAATAGAAAATTAATCCGCGAACGACGACAGCTGTTATGATATCTACATCAATTCGCCTGTTACACTTTCTATAAATTTCAAGAGTTTATACTATTCCTTTGTAAGAAATGACCTACGATTTCTATTGTGTAGTTTTTTATTCATTAATTCAACAAGAATTACATTTCTTCGTTCAAGCGAACACTTGCTTTTGACAAAACTGTTTTTATTTCGCTGTGAAAAATGCAAAGGGATCAAGGAGACGACCGTCAACAGACATTTATTGGAATTCAGACGGATAATCATGTGGAAAAAACACAATGTTACAATACCGATAAAAATAATCTTTAGGCAAACATGCATGTGAAAAGGCAGAACTTCTTTACTTAACATGCTTGGATTGTACATCACGTACATGCAGATTAAGAAAAGATCGAAGGAACAAAAAATATGAGTCGACGAATAAAAGAACTATTGATATTAAAAAGAAAAAAGAACTCAAGATGATAAATGGAAGACATCCGGCAAGGAAACTGTGTAATTTTTTTTAACGGGAAAGAAGTGGAACTGCATGCTTAGAATACACACGAACGTGTGGAGTCGTGAAATAATTGATGACAAAATAATCGACAGGAAATTAAAAGAAGAAGAACAAGAGAAAAAAGAAAGACTTAAGAGACAAGATAAATGTACAAACTTCTATATATTACACTACACTGTTAAATTCATAACGTCAATTTATACTCAATTCGAGTTTTTTGTTTTATCATTTCTGTAAATCGTCACAGCAACTATTCAATATGTCATTAATTTAATTAAAACAATAGAGTTAGACAATTTATTCAAGAACATTAAACTTTGCTCAAAAGTTTATTATTTAATAACTGCATATACTTTAATTTGTGGACGTTGTTTACTTTAAAAACTAATTGTTGAAATGAATTGATTTACATTTTGACATATGGAAGTTTTGAAAATAACAAAATGTTATTTAACTTAACGGATTGAGTTATCATTGCTCCTTGCTATCTAACAGAGTAAATCGCCAACAGCGGTTTTTTTATTTAAGCCGTGCCATCATATTTAATATGGAAAAAAAATCATAAACAAGATATAAAGATTTAATATAATTACCAAATTATAATAAGATTTTATTAAGACAAAATGAAATTAAATATTAAGTATAAGCATATTCAAGCCTGTAACAGTCAAAGCTAGATCTTTTCAATGTCTAAATAATTCACAATAAATTATCTATATCCTATATATGTAATATGTGCATATATTTTTGTAGTTATTCTGCGAGCCGAAATTTTTCCGGATTTTATCAAACGCAATGCAATTAACTACTGCAATAATATTACAAGTTAAATTAAATTGACAAGCAAATTCTCAATCTTCGATCCGATATCATATTAAGGGTGTTAATGTACAGGAAACCTTAAATAAATTTATTGCGAAAAATATTACCGGCTGGGATTGAATCCGGATCTCTTGTATTCCGTACAAGCGTCGTTAGACTACTGAGGCTATGTCTATATTATTGCAGTTTAATTGTGTTTGATAAAATCCGAAAAAATTTTGGCGCGCAGTTTGAATAACTACAAAATATGATATATATGCATGTACATATATAGGATATAGATAATTCTGTGAATTATTTAGATATTGAGAAGATCTAGCTTTAACCGTTATAGGGTTGAATATGCTTACTTAGTATTTATCAAATTATACAACACAGGCATTTTTCAATTTTTTTCATTTAAAATTGACAATATCTATTATTTATTTATTTATTTAATTTAAACCGCACATATTCTTAGTGTATAGTGCACATTATTTTACAGTAAATATGGCTATTAGCTTTACATTTTATTGAATTCTAGATTAGCGGTTATAATATACAGAAGTCTATGGATAAGATCTCATGCTTTCAAATGTGATGTTAAAATACGGATGGCATGCTTTTCGAAGGAAGGACTTACGATCGTCGCTGTCGGTCTCCGTGTACAAATCCAGTGGAAGTGGCCGAGATTGATCTCTAGGTGACTCGATCAGGTTATAATCAGTGAGAGCTTTAGTGGGGTCTTTCCGCTGACAACACGCGTACATAATGCCGCCGCAGCTGCCGTCCAATAGGCCAGCAGTCATCCAGCACATTAGAAAAAATTCACAGCTTCGTCCGTCCGTACACAATGTATCGTCGCCTTTCCACAGCGGTCTTTTTTGTTGACGCATCTCTGCAGAAAATATGGAAACTCTTGTCTTCCACGACTGTCAAGTTACGTAATCGTCCTGAGCGACTGTCGAGCTATGCGCGGTCGCAATTCCAGTCTGGCCGAAGAAGAAAACGTCCGAACAGGTTTGCGGAAAGACGTCATTGCGGTTACTAATCTAATCTCAATCTATATGACTACAAACCGGCAACAGGAATGAGAGAGATTTCAAGAGAATGCGACTCTTCTCAATCGGATGTCAATTATTAAAATTGAAAACTTATTAATATCGATCAACTAGATACAATTGTGACTACATATTAATAGTTTAAGACACACACAGTGGCTCTAATAGTGCTAGAAGTTGAAACTATTTATAGAATGCAAATTTTTCGAATCAATTTTTCGATACTTAATTATTGATGCTTAATGCAATTATCAAGCAACAATTGAAGGAAATATAAAGCCGCCGTTTTTATTTTCACCGATTACTCCAAGTCGAACTTCAAAAGATGAAACGGCCGCAAGTTAAAATCCAGGATTAATAGTTTGGACATATAAGGATAAAAAACTTTTTGTATTTGTGTTAAAATCGGTCCTTGAAATCCTTAAAATCATTGTATTAAATTTTTAACATATCTGATTGTTAATTTAAGGTTGTATTATTTGAATACTTTGTATTAAATTAATTCAATAGTTCTTAATCGCCGAAACAACACAATCCATAATTAAATAAATAATATAAAAATAAGATATTTTAAAATGTTAATATATTAAGATAATTAATGAATAAAATATGATATGTCAATTTAACATATAAATGTTAATTTATCATATTATAAATGTTAATTATACTGAAAAAATATACTGTCACAATTTGAATACAAATTGTGTCAGTGTTACGTTTTTGTGTTAACTTTTACATGTTCTAGCATATTTATTTTGTGATAATTAACACAAAAATTCTGATGGACCGTTTGGGAAACATGAAAATGTATTAAATTTAATACAAATTTCCGACTGTGGTGTAGCAAAATAGAAAGAATTAATTAAACTTTCAACTATTTGATTTTTACTTTAATTGAAGATCAGATTTCTAACTTAATTCTATGATAATTTGTCTAAAACAAAGTAGTATTAAACGACAATTAAACGATTAAATTTTGCTGAAATTTATTAGGATAAGACTGTTGAAGTGAAATAAGTGCGATTAATAGAAAAAATATCGGCATGATAATATTAATCATTTTTCTAACAGACTTTCTACACAGAAATATTTAGGCAATCGTAAAAGGATCTCGTACTAGTTCAACGTGACAACGATTTACCATCCAGCAAAGCGCGACGTCGACGATGTCGTAATGATTGCCATGTCTTGAACCACGACGGAAGTCGACTGTAATGGAAATAAGTTTCGCGCGCCATTAAGAAGTAGAATATTGCGCGACTAATCATCCGATTTTTATGAATTCACGCGAGTGGACGATCAATTAAGCAAAAATCGCAAATTTTAAAAGAATTGGAAATTCCCTGAAATAACATCGTTACGGCTAACTATCGTATTTTATAATTCCGCTGATAAGTTGTACGTACCTGTTTCTAATCTAGGGTAATCATCAGGCATCTGTTTTCGGAGATCTGAAATAAAGATGCTATTCTGGAAAAACGTCATAGTAAAACAAAAGAAAAAAAATGTTTTCTGCAAAAAGAATAGGTCGTTCAATTTTGATCTTGAAAAAAATGCATAGAATTTCTAATTCAATAAATAATTCAAACAAATTATTTAAAATTAGAAGAAAAAAGAAATTGAGAATTAATGACTGTGAATATGAGAATTAATTGACTCTCATAGCTGTTTAAGATTACTTAGTTTAAGATTGTTTAAGATTAAATACCGTCCAATATTTTTGTATATACGGTTTATATACATGATTCATAATGATAAATTAGTAATTGTCATAGTTTGTTGCACCAGCATTACACATTCTAGATATGCTTGCGAGTTAGTTTATTCGATCGATTCGTTTATAATTGAAGAGATATATGTTGGTTCGTTTATAATTTAAATACTTTGAAAGTTTCATATAATAATGTATTTTTGTATTTGCACGCTTTTCTACTCCGTTAATGAAGCGCTGTTTGCACAGTAAATTGAATTATCAGAAATGACGGGATTACGCGAGTACGCAAAGGAAAGGAAGAAAGTAAAAGGGAAAAGTTATTTATTATGCATTCAAAGAATAACGAGCAAGGATAAATGCAGGCCTATACTAAAGATTGCTTATATGTCTACTAAGTATTAGAGATGTCTAACCTATAATTTCTAATACTGCATTTGAAGCATTGAGAATGTGTGTTTAAAACGTATATGAATCTGAATCCTTTAATTATACTAGAAATTATATGCAATTTACAATTTATAGTCCAAGAAATTATAATGGAAGTAAAAAAAAACATATCTCTATAATTTTCAGTTAAATATTTATTTTAATCTTTCTGTCAATGCACGGAATATCTATATCAAATTCTTCAGTAAATTTTTTTTATTTTTTTGTTTATTTTTTGAGAATTTGATCATGATACTTCAAAAATTCTTTGAACGACAAAAAAGATTTTACACAAATTTTATCTTGTTTTTATTTTTAAATTTTTTACGAAAACCTTGTGAATAAAGTAGTGAAAAATAAAAAATTATTGACAGAAGATTCCAAACAGAAATGATAAAAGAGATTGATATAATAATACTAATCCACAAATGAAAAAATATAAGCTCTAAGTGGCTGTAATAAAGATTAGATTTAGTATTATTCCAAAAAGAGAAAAATAAAAAGAAAGCAGATAGTTTACCTCTAATATCGTCCTCGAAATCTGGCAACTGATTAGACTGCTGGAAAAAGGAAGTCGCGCCACCTCCGACTGGCGGCAGGAAATCGTTGTCACGGAATATCAGTCGTGGTGTCCGATGGGACATCACCGGCCTGTTGTAATCGGCAGGAGTTCTCCAGAAGGATTTGTGTTGTCTCCACGACCCTGGGAATTGAGTCTGTGGAATGAAACGCGTGACCGGATGCGGCCCAAAATTCCTACCATGTGGCATTGAATCGGTCTCGAGGAGATAAGCAGATCCTGTTGGAAATCGCACGTATCTTCGCCGGCGGATTGCCATCACCCTAGTATGATTGGTTTCATCTCTTCGCATATCGACAACCGAGGAATCAGATTTCGTAAATTGCTCTATCTCGCTCGTCATCAAGCTCGAAGAAAGACTCAGAATGACTGCAGCTAGAAGCCAATGATACGGCCTCGATATATCCATCGTTTTATTGAACGATTAGAAATTGATAGAGATCAAGTGCTCAAAGTCTCGTGATTCCGTTTATCGACAATTGATCTCTGCAAATGGCGTGCGTTTCATTTAGAAATTCGCGCGATTCATATGAATTTATTCTATTTCACTTAGTCAATCTACTCATCGACTTCATTCCGTTTTCCATTTCCACGAAGGATGCAAGCGGTCTCGTCGTTTAGTGGTTGCAATGAGATAAGATATAATAAATTTCTTCACCACGCTGACTTCGCCACCTTTAAAAAATTAAAAAATTATATACGAGGATAAATCAGAAAGTAAAGTAAATTTATTTATTTCTCACTTATAAATGTTAATTTGTAACAAATTTTGTGTAACAATCCATAAGTCTTTTGGATTTCATCTGCAAAGATTTTTAGTTACTCTCGAAAACATATATGCATGGATTTCTAAACTCTAATTTACTATTTAGCTTTTTTTCTGATGGAACTCCTGATTCCATCAAGAATGTAAGAATTAATTTTATCTTGATTAACAAATCTAAGAAAAAGATGAAGAATAAATTGAACTGTGATTAAAATTAATTTTACATTGATGCAGAGTTGTACAAAATTGTTTCAATTCAATAATAACAATTACAAATTACAATTATAATGTAATTCTTAATTCAATTAGTAATTATATTTCGTAATTATTAATTGTTAAAAACAATTAAATGAAGTAATTGCGAAAAAGAATTGTAAACAGATTATTATATACAATTATTTAATTGTTAATTGTTAATTGATTAACTGTAATTGTAATTAGAATAAGAGCAACTAATGCTTTATAGCAGGGCTCGATACGACTTGCACTTCTCGATTTTCGACTCGGCTCCGCCTTCCGCTACTCCTCTCACCTCATTGTCTCACGCAAAATCTCAAAGCTTAAGAGCGTATCATACTCGTAGACACTCTTAGACATCCACCCGCTTTGGATGCTTACGCTATAAACTTCATTCTATCTTCTTTTTTTTATTTATAATTAAGACTGAATGCTTACGCGTTAGTTACATTATATGTAACAATTACATATTGGGTTAGGGAAAAAGTCTTTTTACACGTTGGTAAAAAAAGAAATTCCCCTATCGATATCTTTGTTAAAAATAATCAAAGTTTAAGTTTAAAAGAAAGAAAGTTTAAAGTTGAAAAGTTTTCTTTGAAAGTTCTCTACTTTTGAATAGTTATACTATATTTTTGAAAAAATTTATGTGTTTTGTAATTTTACATAGAAAATTATAAGCTGAAAAAAATGAAACATTTTGTTTTCATTTTGTAGGGCTATAGTGTGTCCAAAAAAAATTTTAACAAATTTTCGACTATCTATTGTGTGAAAGCTTGAAGCTTCCTTACAAAATTATTTTTTTTTAATGTTCCTACGATTTTTTGTTCCTGAATTATTCGTGAATTAAATAAAAAGGAATATTCTGATTTTATTGTTCATAACTCTGTTAAAAATTATCGTATTGCAATTAAAAATACAGATTCTTAAATTGAAATGTTGCTCTATCAAGTGGTGTAATTGCTAAGTTTTTAAAGTAAATTATATTAATTATCAATAGAGTATATTAATTGCTAAAAGTCTTTTTATCAATTTGTAAAAGGATTTTTTCCTAATCTAATATCACTTGGATTATTTTAATTAAATTATACAATCAATTACATTCAAATCGATTAACAAATCAACTTGTAATTTTGCCTAATATAATTGTAAAAACAATTGTATCTATAAGATTTTTTTCCGTAAATTGTAATAATATAATAATCAGGATTGGTAAATATTATTTTGCTGTTACTTTTTATAATAAACAATTTGATGACGATGTTGCAATTTTTAATGATGATAACGCTAACTAACTGAATGCTTAAATTAGAAGAATTTCTTTGAAAAGTACTTGTCACTATTACGTGTTATTTACTGAAAAAAATAATAAATAAGTAATGCGTAACAATTAGTAATGAGTAAAAGTAACGAGTAAAAAGTAACGCATTACAAATTAGGAGTTATTTTTTCAATAATAAATGACTTTTTTAACCTGTTACAAGTAACTTTTTGACTTTTCTAAATCTAATGTTACCATTACCACCATAAAAAATTCACAATGTGTGAATTTTCATTACCGAATTTATTACCAAATTGTTAACAAGAAAACGTTATTATAACAAGGAAAAAGTCTCAATTGTCTTAGAATTTAGGAAGCAGTGCATATGTGGATTTGAGGGCAGCCAGAAGCTTTTTTCATAAATAGTGGATATCATCATAGAATGAAGCCCATTGAATGAAATTCAGATTAAACCTAACCTGAGTTAGCTAGATCACAAGTTAACTAGATTCCTATTTCTTTTTTTTTTATTTTTTCCCTTTTTGTAAACGCTTTATCATATTTTTGTCACGTGTTTCTTGTCACTTTCGAAATTTGTCAATTTTTATTTCGGGCAATAGAAAAAACAAGATAATGAAGTAAAAAATAAAAAGCAAGAAATAGGAAGCAAAGAACACATTATGCATTATTAGGTTGAGTGATTATATCGAGAAACAATGTACATGTATTTTGCTAATATATTTTGTACGTACAAAATTAATAAATAAGTTCACTTTACTTTCTGATTTCCCCTCGTATAATACACATTATAAATTGTTATTTACAAAATGATTATAACAAGATATATTACATATAATTTTATAACACAAGCTACTTTTCTTTTACTTTTCTAAATGTGTTTCTATATGTGTATGTGATAAGACAAGACGATTAGTCCGAGTGGTCTTTCTATGTGCTATAATATTTGGATCCTAAACAATCTGACACTACTCAATTCACTACTGATTTTCTCCTCGAGTTTCACGAGTCGTTAATCATCGGACGCCATATTAGAATACCTAACGAAAGGAAATGCGCATTGCAATCGGATTCACAGTCAAGAAATCGAAGATTTTGGTCCAACATTAAGGAATGCCACACTATTCATACACCTGTAATTATTGGTAGCGATTTCACGGAATTTAAATCCAAGAATTTTCTTTTAGCTATTCATGATTATTACTCCCGTTTACAAAACGATAAAAATAATGTAGAGATAGAAATATATTCTACATGTCAATTTAGTATTTGCATTCAACAAATTTCTTATTATTATTATTGTATTTTTATAAGATAAGGATTTTTAGGCTTTACCTATTGATATTTATTTTTAATAAACATATAATCTACAATCGCTCGTAATGGGAAGTTTCTTCAATATTATTTCTTTTAAATTTAAATTTCTACTATCCATTTAAAGATTGACATAAATATAATACACAGAAAATTTTTGTAAGCGATAATACTTAAAGGCAAATGAAACAAACTCGAAAATAACTTCCACGTGGCCAATGAATTCCTCTTGACTGAAGACGAAATCCAGTTTGCATCACGATCTTCCGTAACGAGTGAAAGTAAAGAAGTTCACCCGGAACCAAAGATCATGCCATTTATACACGAGAAAGATTTACCGAACGTATTTAAATCCATCAACATTTCTGTCGAATGAAATTATCACCCACGAACGGTATTAACAAGAGAAAACGACGCGCTAGTAACACTTTAATAAAACTTCCTCATAATTAACTCTAAAATCTGAAATCTCCATATTTCCAATCGCTTATGTAATTATAATATTAGTTCGCTAACTTTTTAAAAAATAATTCTGCATTAATTAAAGAATCAACAAATTTTTATCATAAACATAAAAATATCTACGTGTAATGAATAGATTTTTCCCAAACATGGATTTCGTTGACCATGAGTTGGCCGACAAATAGGGGTCAGTTCTCGAAGCATTAGAAATGCCAAAAAGAAAACAAGAATAGAAAGACATAATTGTTCATTAAATAATCTTGGTGAACGGCCTTGCCTGGGCCATCGCCAATCGTGATAGTGAAGATGAACGATTCGATGTGTTAGTAGGTCATTGGCTCTACGTCGGATTCACTAGAAGTGAAAGTACACTTCTTGCGTGCACGACAATGTGAAGTTCATGTTCACGCAGTGCTACCCGTCACTCCGGCGATGGAAGTTACGAATGGCTCATATGATTCTCCAAAGAATCCGAAATCTCCTGCCTGCTCTTTCCCCTGTAATTACCATTGTCACCTCGAAATATTACCACGCGACAAATGTACGTGAAATCACCTTGAGCTTCTTACGATGATTTTTATCATAAAAGTATTCGATTACTATAACGCGATGCCTTTTGCTCCGATCTTTAAAATTCCCAACTGCGATTCCCCACATTATTTTTCATTCCTTTGCAAATAGCCAAACTACAGATAACTATGTTTTTTTTTTAGATTTATAACTTCATCAAGCGTACTTCAAAGAACGTAAAAGACAGATATACATATTAAATTGTGAAATCGAGTTCTAATATTGATCACGCGATTCTGCGTACATTGATCTTTTAGATGTTCTTTTCACTTGAACTTCTTGCACCATTCATCTTTCCTCTTTTTCTATCTACGTTGAAGAGAAAAGAGAAAAATAAACGGTAAAAGAATTTAACTGAAAAAAACAGACCAATTATATACTTCTTCTTTACTAATAATAAATGCTAATTATTTGGATAATAACTTTAAATTTGTTTTCTTTTTTTGTTTGTTTTTATCCCTTTAATGTAAAATCATCGGGATTAAATGTAACCCTACAGCTTCGTTAGTAAAAGCATTTTTTGTTTTACTGCAGTTATTAAAAGTTACTTGGATGAAAAGAATAGCTTCGCTAAACATTTAAGTAGAAAAATCTAAAAATAATTTTATTGAGCCATCAAAGTAATTATGTAAGACGCTTAAATTGATTAAATATCGTAATTTTTTTCCAACATTGCTCATCATACTTGAGCATACTATATAATTATTTTGATAATCCAATAGAATTATTTTCAGATTTAAAAAACATTACCATTCAAATTATTATTAGATTAATGATAATATGT